TCCCTCGCGTTTTTTTACGACTTTATGGACTGAAAATAAAACACCAACCCCCTATCACGTGCCTCGCTGCCAATGTAATCCTGAGTAATTTTTCAACCCCTTAGTTACTCCACCCGATTTTCGGCCCTTAAAAATCCATCGAGTCACACCCGAGTTTATTAACCATACGCTGAACCCATCGAGCTTTTAACCCGTGTACAATCAACGCGCTTTTTTCGGGGAAAAAAAAAAAAAAACCATACAACTAGCCAATTCGATCTCCACGAGTTGCTCTAAATTTTCCAATGTATTTCGCACTCGACGCGGGAGACGGGGCGCAAAAACACAGAACCAAAGAGAAAAAGCTCCGTCGAGTCACGCCAACAGCTTTTCATTAAAGCACCCGAGCAAAGTAAGCGGCACTTATGCGCTCCCCTCTCTGTCGCGTATACATACACACATATACTATAGTATGAAAGACGAGAAAATAAAGTGTCGATGAGCAAATGGCCGACATACGTGCATTATTATGTATATCCATCTGTCAATGGCAGAAATGCAAGAGGTTCCGAGTGGGGGAGCGCTGCTGCGAGTTCGAGTGCCTGGACGGCAAGGACGTGGACTGGAACGAGCCCGACCTGATCATAGCAGCCGGGGCCGAGTCCGCGAGGGGAACGTCCAAGAGGCTGCTCGTGGCGCTGCTGCTGCTCAGGGCTCTCGTACTCCTGGTATCCTAATGACTAGTGACGCTCAGCCTTCCTGATCCCCGATGGATCTTGGTAAGATGTTTTTTCTTTCCCTCGGCATTTTTCGACAGTCACGTTCGACCAGAGCGAACATGTACAACGATACCAGCTAAAATGGAACGTGGCGCGTACGTGCACGCGGAACAGATGCGCTGGTTCATGAGACGAGACGCTGGACTCGGGGTTATTTTTTTTTCTTTTCCCTCCTTTTACCGCTGATCCGATGGCCTTATTCCACGGGTCTCTCCATCTTTTTTTTCCCCCTCCACCACACGAGGCCCTTAAAAGTTGCGTCCCGCACACCCGAACAAGGGAAATTCAATCGTCCGCGGTCGGCCGAAGGTAACTCGACCGCTGCTCCTTGTCCAGCTAATTATTCACCCCGAAAACGAAGCATCCGTCGAGCGTCGCCGTACCTCAGCTAGAAAACAATGGAAATGCATCCTCCTATTGTTTCCAGCATCGCACGCGCATACACCCCCCGACAAAGTGTCAAATGAAGGTACCCGCTGTAGAGTTAGTCCTCGGAGAAATCAGCCAGACGTTTTCGCTCCCGGCTGGTTATTAAACGACGCCCCTTCGGGGAGGACCCGTACCGAGTGAATAAGACCAAAGGCGGTTGTGGGACGGACTGCTAAAAGTGGCTGACAATCAGAGGAGACACCAGTACTAACACGGACGACCACTGTGGCTTTGTTGCTGTGCGTTTGGGGGTGTATTCGTTGCAAGGGCTTTTCATCGGCGTACGGGGGGTACACGGATTCTTTTTTTTCATCCAGAGAGCAACGAGACACTCGAAAAAATGTGGCGTCCGGGAATTTGTCGGAGGTTTACGCTGGGATGTAACGTATGTATGCAGAGGTAATTTTTTTTATTTCTCTAGTTAATGTTGAAAATGTTAATGGGTGCAAGCATACGTTTAAGATGTTTTCACGTTTTGAATCATCCCATTGTCCGTCCGACAAACTTGTCACGATAGATAAACCGAAGCCTACACTTTTGAAATTGTTCATGCGTCGTTCGTGAATAAAGCTGATTCCCAAGTCCTCAATTTTTAGTATAGATAGCGTGCTTCTGGTGTGTATTAAAAAAAAAAAAAAAAAAAAAAAAAATTGTACATCCCCGTGCAGCCTTGGGCATGCATTCCAGTTCCAAATGTTTTGCTATAAAGTTTCGTCCTGAAAATATTACATATTATTTATCCTGAATAAAATTCACATGAGATTTTTTGTAAACAGTATTTGAATATTTATTCGAGACTGTATATGATGAACTTTATTTTTCAAATTTTTTGTTGGCAAAAATTTTGATTTGTACTGTGTTACAAATATGAATGAAAAAAATTTTCCAACAAGTAATAGTTCGTTACATTTTCGGAAAAATATTTTTTTCTGCAATTGTTTGACTTGCATAGTACAGGGTAGTGCCCAAGTCTGTCTATACGTGCAAAGATTCAATATGAAGGTGCATAGTAGCTCTGAGCAGTTTTCATTCGTATTACGTCTAATTATGCGTTAAAAAAATAACGATAACGAGCGAAAAAGGGCGAGCGAACGAAGGAAAATTAGAGTGTAAGACATAGCACGTAAGGTGAGACGAAGAGTGAAAATTAAAAAAAAAAAAATTGTAAACGACTAATAATACTAAAAGTAGTTGCAGAAGAAAAAGTTGTATTCGTCCGTGAAGATAACATAGCTGTATGAAAGTTATGTTACTTGAAACACCAATGATTATCAATTAATTGAAGAAAATCGACGTTTTTTGTTTGTTGTATAATAACAATTAAAAAAATTTTTATCAAGAGGAAAAAAAATACTTGCCTGTTTAAAATTCCTTTGGTAAATTATGGATTATTCAAAGAGTAACCTGATGTATTCATCAAAAGTACACGAAAAATATTAATGAAAGTCAAAACGAATATAATATGAATATCGAGTTTCAAATTATTTTCTCGATCTAATAAGAAATGAAATAATTAGATATTGAAGCTAAGAAATTAATAAATACCACTATAAAAAGATACATGAAATAATAAGCATTCGCGCTTCAAATAAAAATCTTTGTGGCGAATTTGTGAACAGTTTTATAAGTAAATAAGTAAAAAAAAAAAAATCTACAAAAAACAGATTTTTAATTTTTTACGCTGAAAGTAAGCAAGCCAAGTTTCAAATAATCGTAAGCGCTTAAGCTATTTGAACATTAAATTCACATTACACGTAACTAACTTGAACATTAATACACAATGTTACATTTTCAAATTAATTTATGGATTTTAATATTAATGATTATAAATTGATGTATTGCAAAAATCTTGATAATACATAATGTACAGTATCATGTTTAGGGAATAAAAAAAGGTATATATTTTTAATATTTAAAAAATCGTATGATTAACATTTTAAAAATACAATAAAAAAGCAATCTTTGATTACCGTGTCAATACTTAATTTTTAATTCAGTTTTAATCGTCAAATACAATAAATTTTATCGGCTGAAATATATTCATGTAGATAGACATATATACAATTCAGCATAAACATATCATTCACAATATAATCGTGCATCGTAAATTAATGGAACATATATATAGTTATACAAATAAATGAAGGAATAAATAAATTTTATCAGCTGCATAAAACAATTAACTGTTATCGATGAAGCATTAGTTAATATATTACATCTATACTTAAAATAATAAAAATAGCTTGAGATACTTTGAATTTAATTTATTCTTTATCCACCAAACTTTCTCAAAATTTAGTTAGTCCAACTTTATGAGACTGGCGATATTAAATTGCAATTTGCTACCACCTCTTGTGCGAAGCTTTTCGGGCACAACTTACCTATACGATAAAAAAATAATTTTACGATGATAATTAAAAAAAAAAAAAAATAAGGAAATATTAAATAAATTTTCCGACTCCTTGATTTTAACTACACCGAAAATTTCAAATAAAATACATAAAAAGAAATATTTGCCATTTTATAAATGAACAATAATTGTGATAATATACAGTTACAGTTTTTTCGTATACAACGATAATGCACACTATCAAAACGCTACAACAATAGAATCGATAAGTTTTATTTCCATGTGGCACATACGAATATAAAATATATTGTATTGAGAGAACTACAATGACTCGATCGATGAAAATAAGCTCAAGCGTGTGGATAAGCTAAATTTTTTCAAAAGTGAAAATAATAAATTGTAAGAGGTAACGTGACAAGCTAAGCATGTACATGTATTATATGTTCCAGCACAACGCAAAGCATCAAACTTACAATAAAAACAATACAAATATAATTTTTATCGAGAAGGTTAAAGAGGACTCAATTCTCATAAGCTTCAGCTCGCAGCTTATACATATATACGTAAAATTAAGTATTGTATATGCAAAGGCAGGCTCTTTTGCGTGTTCGTATACTTTTTATATGCTTTCACAGCGTGTACACTCGCACTTATGCTCTTTCTCACTCCCACTTGCGATTGGCAACAAGAACATTGTCAAATATTCTGGCGAGCTGCAATCAATAACACAATAAACAACCTGTCGTCATGAAATAAAAAATTTTTCAGCTTGCGAAAAGAAAAAAGGAATTAAAAAAAAGAAAAAAAAAAATTCGCCTGAGCATCGATTTTCCTCACTCGTGTTTTCAGTGTTCACAGCAATTTTTATAAGCTTCCTTTTTTTATACGCGATATAACTTTTGCATAATACGTGACATCAAGTCAAAATAGATATACAGAGTCGTGTATAGCTCTAGACAGAAAAGGCAGTTCTCTTACTTTACTGCAAAATATTGATTTCTTTTTTCTTCATGATTTCTTTTCGGTATACGCGAAATTTATATGTATGTACACATGCTTGCAAAATCAATAAATGACGTATCTTATTTATGTATAGCATTGGAATTGTTTGGACGATGTTTGTCCATTAAAAAACAAAAAGATACATTTCGAGCGTTGATTTTCTTTCATTCATTCACAGCAGTGTGCTATAATATGTCTATGATTTTTCTTTATAAATGTCGCAAAAAAAAAACAGCTTCAACTTGAACCGAGCAGTGAGATAAATGATTAAATGTAGACAATTACAACATGTTCCTTTTATTTTCCAACAAAACGGGATGTCTTGCAAAAGCGAGTTACCCAAAAGCGTTATAGAAGTACCTGTGAAATTTTTCATGACCCGGAAAAGAAAAAGAGAAAAATAAACAATAATAATAGTTGTATGTACCGTGAAAAAAAAAAAAAAAAAAAAATGCGATAAGAGCTCCACTAAGCACATTAACAATAAATATGTAACTACATGTCGTTTAATCATCAAGTGGCCTTTTATGTAAAATAAATCATTGTACATTTGTTGTAGAATATACATACTTTATCAAAACAAAACGTAAAGCCTAGTCTCCTATTTATTAAACATTGTATTATCTCTTTATTATTTGATTCATAAATTAACAAACAGTATCAATAAAGTTTGGTATAAAAATATAACAATTTTTTTTTGTTATTGTTTTTTTTTTTTTTTCATGGAAAAGAAAATTTACATTAATCTGTGTCGCAATTAAATCTTCTTCCAGACCGTGTCGTACAAATCCGTGCGCCGCTGCTGAGACACTGGAATCTGTGCCCTGACCTCATCCACGACTTTAAGATCTACAAGCAAACACATAACGAATTTGATTGCATTCGATCGATTCAAACGTATATATGTACAGCAAAAGCAAACCCACCGATGTCCTTGACAATCATGTCCTCGATGGCGTCCAACTCGGCGAGAACCTCGGCCCAGGGACTGGTGAGTTGAGTGTGTCCCCAGGCAATGTAACCAGGTCCCTCGGCACGTGCAGGCGACACGCAGGCCACGTAAACCTGGCAGTCGTTGGCCCGGGCGCGCTGCAGGAGCGACCAGTGCAACGGCCCGGTGGTCATGTTGAACGCTGCCGGGTAGACGAGCATGTGGCAGCCTTGGTTGCGATACAGCCGCGCCATCTCCTCGAACCTTATGTCGTAGCATACGCCGAGGCCGATTTTGCAGCCCTTGACCTCGAAGCTGTTGAGGCTGTTGCCGGCGCTGAGGACGTCGCTCTCCCGGAACGTTATTTTGTCCTTGATGTCGATGTCGAACAGGTGCATCTGAGGAGGACGCGCGATCGATGTGGAATTTTATTTGAGATATGCGTGTCGGTGTGCAGTGTGAGCACAGCAGGTGAGAGACGGTTGTCGGAAGGATCGTGACCTCCTCCTTGGGGTCTAATTTTGTACGGCGAGGCCAAGCGAGTGAGCGCTAGGTTCATTGCCGATGCCCGAGATTACAGCGGTTTATTTATTGGGTATACGTGCAGGTATAAAGTATACTGTGAAAAACCATCCAGTTGAAAATTGTAAAAAAATAATAATCATTCCACGAATTTTTCTTTTCTTATTTTACCTATTACTAAATAGTCATTACAAGGATCCCTTACACCAATCCCTTTTATACCGATCCTGCACATAATGTCACACATACAAGATAAAGATCGAAACTCAGCGCCTCTCGATATTATCTAAGCTTGTCCCTTTGCCATCAACCCCACATGGATGGGCTCTTTTTTTTTATTTGATTAGCAATTTATTTTCGGAAACATTTTTTTAGAGTTTTCCGACTGTTTATAATTATTACCGCAATCTCACTTGCATGAAACGCGACAGGCCTACTTGTTTGAGGTAATGAGTCTTTGAAAATGCGAATAAATAAATAGACTTAATCATAAAATGTTAACTCATCCGTTGAATGATGATTTAGTTATTTTTATTTTCAATATGCTTATTTACCTTTCTGTGCTTGACAACGAGCTCTCCCATCGGATTCCAAACTGTGCAGGTGTTGTAAAGCTTGTCTCCATCCTTCTCGGGAATAGTGCCACCAATGACGTAGATTTCATTCTTCTTGGCTGCGCTCGATAGCGCCAAGCACGTATCGCCCGATGGAATAACTTCGGCGTACTTGGGAAAATGATCTGTCGTGGAGGGTCAATTCAAGCGTATGTTAAATATTTGATGGCGAGATGCAAGCTTTTTTTTTTTTTTTTTCAATTATAATTTTCATGGTATGGATGAGACAACCCTTGCTACTGACTTATTTGACGCCCGTAGTGAATGGATGGATGGATGTACCTAGATGTAAAACTCACCTGTTCCGTATGGTGAATTGAAACACTCTGGTAACACAATAAGGTCGGCTCGTTGTTGTTTTGCCTTGTCAATGAATGAAATAGCTTTATTGATGTTTGTTTCCTTGTCAGCACTGACGGATAACTGTGCCAGAGCTATTCTCAAGGCTGAAATACGGAATATTTATTTATTGCAGTACAATTTATTCTTTTTACGTTTAAGTATAATATCAAATGTCGGCTTACTTGACATGGCTCTAATCGTCTGGCTAGCGAATCTACAACTTTGCATCGTTTTTTCGTACTAGGTTATGTTTTAGGATTGGCACTCGACACACTTTGTGGTATCTAAACTTTTCCTCGTTCATTGCTAAAACGCGATAACGCACTTGCTTATTTTTATGGAGGACAACGTTAGACGATCGGGTTGTTGTTTTCAAATGATTACTCAGACGTATTTCATCTTGTACGTAAAATATTATTTATTCAAATCGTTGAATGGCGTGATTCAAATTGGTCACCAATAAATTTAAATTAAAAATTCTGTACACGTACTACCTATTACATTTTTTTTACCTCAAAAAAGGCAACGTAAATGTTTCTACAAATCTTCTTATCGCACTTATAAGTACTGTTAACTGTACAAAAATAAAATGGTCATGTAAAAAAAGCTTAGTACATACAAATGAGAACGCAATATTTATAGAATCCATAGGATTCATATTAATAAAATTCACCGTCTCGGTGAACGACTACGCGACCGATTCTTTCTGCGATCTCTATGCTTCGCTCTTTCCAAGGAATCCGCATAATCGGACTTTTTGTGCCTCAATTTTTCCCGTTCTTTATCTTTTTTTCTGTTTTTTCGACTCGATCTTTCCGAAGAACTATCACGATTTTTGTGTTTCTTGGACTTTTTTGATTTCTTGTACTTGCGATCTTCGTCACTTTGGCTCGACGAACTTCTTTTCCGCCTCACTTTTCTGTCTGGACTGCTCTCTTCATCCGACGATTGATGCTTCTTTTTAGAATTTTTCTTAGATTTTTCGCTACGCCTGTTTTTATGGTTGTCATCATCACTCGAACTGGGAGAAGGTTCTCTTTTTAGTTTTTTATTTCTGCCAGAGTCCTTCTCTTTCTTTGCTTCATTTTCTTTGTGCTCCTCGTATGACTTTAGATCTGTAATTAATTCAGTAGAATATTAAAGGCTAAGACTACCATACATTTTATGTTTATTACAAAATTTGAGAGGGACTTTTAAATGAATTTTCACAACACTATTCGTGAAATCATACAGATTTAATGTTAATCTTAATGATTTAAAAGTCCCTAAGGCTTGTCTTACAGTAAATACTCACTTAATACTTTGGATTTTTCCATGTATTCTGAAGACGTTACTGGTTGAACCCAATATTCATTGACAGAAATCACTGCATCTCCAAGGGCTAATTTTACAAAAACTCTGGCAACATCATCATCAAATGCTTCCACTTGGCCATAACTACCACTGCTTTTTCCTTCTGTTATTTTTACATAACTACCTTTCACAAGTTTTAGGTCTTGTTTGCCCTCTTTGCAATTTTGTAAAGCTTTCTGTATGGTTCTTTTATCTGCACCAAGCCCCATTCCTTTGGGTCTCAACTCTGGAATCACTGGTGCAACGACCCTTTGAACATATTAACACATAAGAACTTACATAACAATCAAAAAAAGCATTCAAATTACTTGTATGTAACCCATTATCAAGTGATGTAGTCTTACTTCTCGTCCTTTCCAATCCCTTTTCCTGGCTGCCAACCCATTCCACGTAGCATTGCCTCACCAAATGCTGTTATCGGAATATTCTCATAATCTTCTAAAGTAGACTATAAACAGATACATCATGATATATGTTATTGACTACTTTCACAAAAAAATGTATCAAATAGAGATACAATTAAAAACAAACCTCTTCTTTACCCCTAAGGTCATCTTCATTTTCTTGTTTAATAGGAACTGTAAATATCTGTTTGTCTTTATTATTTCCATCTGAATTGAGATCAGCTATGATTTCTCTAGCAGCCTGTTCTTCCAATGACAGTGGCTCCTTACTACCAGATTCATTTTTTATTTCTGTAACTTCCATTGGCTGTAAGTTATTTTGTTTCGATAAACTCCCATTGAGAGTTTCATTATTGGGCTCTTTTTTAATTTTCACATTTACTTCTGGCATATTTTCATTAATTGTTTGTTTGTCCCCAGATTCACCAGGTTTTGGCTCAAATATATCGGCATCAACTTTATTCACTATTCTGTCATGCCAAGTTTTAGAGCCAAGCATAGGAATGACAAGTGGTTCATCTTTTTTATTCTCTCCTCTGCAACAAAGTAAAGGGACCAAATGTTCAAGCACAGTGAATGAAAATCCGAGCAAATATGTTTATAGGCAAAGAATTAGGGTTATGTTTACTAAGCTTTTGCTTTCTGCACTACACTTACCCCACGATTTTTATCAGCTTTTCGTCCAAACACTCAATGTAATCAACTTTTTTCTGTTCCGGTGGCGGCACATTTTTCAATGCTGGTTTTTTGACAGATTTCGAAAACCCGAACGAAATTTTCTTTCCCTCTTCGGCCATTACGTACGGAAGCCCGTCCCGACATCTACATAAAAACGCGTACGAGTGTATACCTACACTGTCACACTGCACGTATACGAGACTGCATGGAAGCGCGCATACAACAAGTTGCGGTTGGTAAAGAGAGCACGGTGTAAGATATTACTTGAAGTTATGTGTAGTAATTATAGTAATCACTTCTAAGTAAGTGCCATTGTGCCATTTGGTCGATTTTATTAAACCATATAAGTAGAATATCTATACTTTTGGAGGTTGATTTTTGGGTAAAAAAGTAAGATGTAAACATGCCGCAAGTAGCGCAAAAAATGTCAACTTTTTATTTAATATCCATAAGATTAGTTGCGGCTGATTTGTAATTGATTACATGGCTCTACTGTAAGTATAGTAATAATTATTTGGAGCAGCGCCATCTAGCGTTGTGAATTTCTAAACTAAAAAGTGGCACTAAAATTCTAAACCTGAGCAATCAGTTGTTTGCGGCAAGTTAACAATCTATCTTTTACCTGAAAATCGACCTCCTAAATATTAATACTTTTGAAGGTAGAAATTTTCATTTTATATTTATACGATTAGTTGGCCCTAGGCCCGAAAGCTGTGATTCAGAGTTTTAGAGGCCAATATTTAGGATTACGTTCAATTTGAATCGTATGGCACTGAATTTTCTAAAAAAACCAATAAAGTCTTAATAAAAATTTTTTTTCAAAAGTACAAAATCATGTAAATGCGATACGATATGACGTTATTTATAAAATTTGTCGTTTGATTTTAATATATATTACGTATTACTTTTTTCTTCGTCGCGTTTCAAACAGTTGGACGTGACTTTATAAAAAACAAAAGTAGTTGTCAAAACAGTTCTGACTATAATTCATTTTCATTCGGTCAACACGTAAATGTTTATGGGTATAAATAATCAGGGACACAACATATTTCAATCGTTTTTTTGGAGAAAAAAGAAAATTGTTTTCAATTGCCTTTATTGCAACTCATTTAAATTCAAAAACACCTGATCTGTAAACTTGGAGGAGTAAATTCTAAATTTGTTCAATTTGTTATTATAATTATTGGCCAATTACACAAAAAAATCTGTTCAGTAATGTTTCAATGAATAGCGAGTACAAATTACTTATCATTTTCATCTCTGTGGAAGGTGATTATGTTGGAAACATAGAGCAATGGGGTACAGTGGAAAAAGGTAGGGATGAAAGCATTGCATGTGAACTGAATAAATGACTCGTGCAAGGCTTCAGTCATCGTGGACAGCTCGAGTAGACAACACAGGACGAATGGCATAAAAATCACCATGACAAGGTAGGATAAAAAAATATATACTTTTTAAATGTTATCATCAATGTTATTTAATAGCTCACAACAACCATCTAATTATAAATTAGATTATTAAAGAATGAATTATAATTTTGTTTTTTCAAAATAATTCACGAAACATGAATTGTATGAACTTATCGTGGTAACGCAAATTCAACAAATAATAAAATAATTTTTTTTATACAACAATTTCACTAATCATCTTTCGTTTAGATTAATATAAAAATTAAAAATTTTACCACTAGCCTAAATGTTTATGTAATACCTTTTGGTTTTGAAAATAAAAATAAAGCCAATTCAGCCTTCGCGTGCATTGGCTCGAAAAGAATAATTTTTTTTTTTAATTTTTCACGTAGGCAAACGGTAGACGCAAGTATATAAGTACAAAAGATTGACTGTAATATAAAATCAACGTATGTATTGGAATACTACATATAGAAGACAATCTCACGATTATTCTACTGTTCTTCAAAAGTTAATTACGAACAGTGAGTTTTTAACCAGTTGTAACTGAAGGACTTGATTTAATTCCATATCTCAAATTATAGAAACAAAAAGTTGCTCTTTTAGATTAATTAAGAAACAAAAAAAAAGAAATGATTTTCTAGACTTTTAGAGTCACGATAGAATGTGCGAGGGTAACTTGCACCCACAACTTAAGTAATAAGACGAGTCGTTCGAAAGCCCATATGCACGATCTGTAGTAGAAAAATCCGTGCACTTGTATCGGACGAGAATCACGATTCTACGGGTAAACAGTGTTGTTTCGACTATGATCTCCGTTACACTTGCACCGTCGGGACATTGCGAAATCACGGAACACGCGAATTAAGTATTTCCGGTGGTGCCTTTAAATATTTCCCCATCGATACGCTAGCTCATTAACCCGCACGCTGTGTGAAAAAAAAAAAAGAAGGATTTTACCACGGCACAAGATAGCGTAAAAGTTTCTCGACGCACGCGCGTCCTCAATAGCAACACGACAGGCCCTACACGTATATATTTATACACTTGCATTTGAAGTGAGAAACGGGTGAAAAAAAAGAGCCGATTAGCCAAGACAGAATTAAGCATATAATAAAGAATAAAGTGTATAGTGTATACATGTAATGCATGTGGTATACGCTCGGTGCAGGAGAGTGTCCGATTGCGATACATCATGCGAATTTATGACTTTAATGCAAAAGTTCTCTTTTTTTTCACTGCTACCCAGCTTCTCTTGCCCAATCGACAAATTGAGGTATTGTTTAGTTTTTTTTGTTTTGTTTTTTTCTTACATAATAAATTGATAAAAAACAAAGTATCCACCTGTCGTCGATCGGCAAAATAGGATAAAATTCCTCGTCGCACACACACTCGCACGAGATACCGATGGCGGGACAATCGCCGGAACTCGGGGAATAATAGCGCGGAAGAGCACCTATGGGAAATTATATTTGTCACGGGGAGGAATCACGAGCCGCAGTACGGTGACTTTGGCGGTGCACATGTATATATCCAAATCAGACATCGGGTGTAGGTGTACGTATATACACATATATATATATTCACCGGAAGACGGATATGCATGGCACCGGACACTGCGTAGGTATATATATACACCTACTATTGTTACCATATGCACGAACGGGTCTCTTGGTTGGGAAAAAAAGGCCTGGCGCGCGGTGTCGTTCAACCCGAAATTTTCACGCTTCGAGAGTACCATTTACATGCGAGCGAAAACCGTGAACGCGGTACATACACACGGTGGTGAGTGACGATCGTTGTTATATTGTTACCTTTTTTTTTTTTTTTCTTTTTTCTTTTTTTTTCGTTTCTTTTCTCAATGGACTTTCAGGATGTGCAGATTGCGAGCGATCGGGATTCCTAGCTTACAACGCGCGATTTACATATTGCGGAACGGACGAAAGTCGTGTATCACAATCGTGCTCGGCTTCATTAGTTTTGATGCATAAATCATCGACTCTTTGGGTTGAAGAAAGCGCTAAAATCTCGGGAAAATCGGTTTCGATTGTACCGAAACGCCGATCTCTGTTTTTTTTTACACGAGCTCAAGAAATCAGCGATAACGATGTGGGGGGTATGAAAAATGAAAATCGGAGATCAGCGCTCTTGTTCCCTCGCACGGTGCCGATAAAATCGTAAAAAGAAATTTCGCAACTTTCCAGAACGAAGCCGAGATTCCTCCTTGCCGCGTTGGCGCTACTGTCCAGCGGTGCAGCCGAAAAATCGGCACCCACTATCCGACCCGTCTCCGACCAGGACCCCAGCTCCTCGATCGACCTGCCCGACTACTTTCCCTCGCCTCGGCTCGATTGGCCATCGGCTCTCGGGGTCCGGTCGACCGGAGACGCGAGTCACCAGCGCAAACGGCGCGAGCTCGGGCCCGAGGCCAACATGGACAAAATAGCAGCGGCGAAGAACGTGCGGGAAGCCCGGCTGATGGGCTCCCCGGAGACCTGGTCGAAGCAGCCGTTGGCCGTGCAGTTCCGTCCGAGGACCGGATTCGAGGCCCTGCCGTTGGACCGGTACGACGAGGACGTCGACGTCGACGAGCCGGCTAATCTACCGCCACCCCTGATTCGAGCTCACCACGCGCCCAAGGCCGATTTCGTCACCAGCGGACGGGGACGGGGCCCTCCGGAGGGACGCGAGCCCCGGGACATGCCGATCGCGCGCTCCTACGACGAGTACGACGTGCCGATATTCCGCAACGTCGTGCGCGAGCACGACTTTGACGTACAGCTGCCTCCCCGCAATTACTACTACCCCGGCCGATACCGATCGCAGGTGATTCCCACGAGTACATATACATAAGATAACGATTTTTTTTTTTTAATAGGCACGTTAACGATTTTGGTTGATTAAACAGAGGGACTATTACTATCGTGGAGCAGCGGCTAGTGCCCCGGTCCCCAATCCGTACCCCTACGATCGTTATCGGGAGGACGACGAGGAGTACGAGTTGTACGGCAACATGAGGTACGGTAGGCCGGCCACGGCGAAGCCCAAGAGGATCATCTACTACGCCACGTTGCCGGAGATCGTGAGGAAGCCCGTGGATTTGAGGAATTACCCGAACAAGCCGTACGAGCCGATGTCGCGAGCTCCGGAGGTGCAGGTCGAGCCCGAGAGGGTCAAGTTGGCCGCGCCCAGCAACAACATAGAGCTTAGTGGCAGGAGGCCGCAGCAGCGGTACCCTTACGACAACTACGACAACTACGTCAAGAGATCGAGCTACTACGACCGCAGGAGACCGGCAGCTTATGTTGCAGGTGAGGAGATATGCATTCAATGCGCGTTTGGATGTATACTCATGGCGGACAGCACTTTGAAGTTGGCGAGAAAAATAAAAAATAAAAACTTTTAAAAGTACTTGAAAGTAAAAGAAAACACGAGTATTTCGTTTCAAAAAATAAAGTCGGATTGATTCTGTTGTATTGTCCTATAATCGTGGATAGTTTTAGAGTTGGCATTGTTTTTTTTTTTGAACGGCAAAAAATTAAATTCATTAGGTTCGTTACTTAACGATTGCAAAGCTACTCGAGGACTTTTGTGTATATTAATTTGTTTCAAAAAAGAAAAAAAAAAATTGAGCTGAAAAATACGATTTCGATTTGATTTCAAGGCAATGACGAACGTGCAAGGGACGAGGAGCGCAATCGAGCTAATATG